ACAGCTCCGGCCGCATGTCAGGGGGTGTGTGAGTGTATGTGTGTGTGTGTGTGGGGGGCGATTCCCACCCACACCCCCCCCACCAACCCCACACTCGCCCCCACCCCCCTCCGAGCCAGGAGACGGGACTCCACACCCGCACTCACACCCGCGCGGCTGTTGCGGAAGAAAAGGGCGACAGAAAAACTAAAGGACTAAAGGAGGAGAAGAAGAAGAGAGAAGAGAGAGATTGAGAGTGAGAGAGAAGAGAGAGAGAGAGAGAGAGTCGGGAAAGCCGCGTGGTGTCAGTCTGCCTCCAGTCTGTGTGTGACTGTCTGTGTCCCCCACACACCCCCTCTCTCTCTGTGTGTGACTGTCTGTGTCCCCCCCCCCCCCACACACACCCTCTCTCTCTGTGTGTGACTGGTCTGCCCCCCCCCCCCCACACCCCCTCTCTCTGTGTGTGTGTGTGTGTGTGACTGTGTCCGGCGTTGCTGATCGCTTCCACCTCTTTCCACCGCGATCTGTGGCCACACTCCCCGGGGGTCAGGGAGGGAGGGAGGGAGGGAGGGAGTTGGGCGGTTAGTCGGTTGGGTGGAGAAGACGAGGAGGAGCAGAGGAAGGGGAGAGGGGAGAGGAGAGGAGAGAGACAACATATCGAGAGAGAGAGAGAGAGAGAGAAACGACATCAAAGGGATTCTCCTCTCGGGATTTGTTACAGCGCTGAGAACCGGACACCGCATTCGCTACTGTTACTGATGTGAAACCCGCGCCGTGTTTTCTGTCCTCGGCTCCAGTTTGCATTCCCACTCTTTTCTTTCCTTTTCTTTTTCTTTCTTTCTCTTTCTCTCTCTCTCTCTCTCTCTCGCTCTCTCTTTCTTTCTTTCTCTCTTTTTCTCCTTCCTTCATCCTGAGCTGTAAAACAACACCAGCGATCACACCGCACCATTCGGGAGAGAGGAGGGGAGACAGAGAGAGGAGAGGGGGAGAGAGGGGGAGAGGGAGAGAGGAGAGGGGGAGAGGGAGAGGAGAGGAGAGGGGGAGAGGAGAGGGGGAGAGGGGGAGAGAGGAGAGGGGGAGAGAGGGAGAGGGGAGAGAGGGGGAGAGGAGAGAGGGAGAGGAGGGGGAGAGAGGAGGGGGGGAGGGGGAGAGGAGAGGGGGAGAGAGAGGGAGAGGAGAGGAGGGGGAGAGGGGGAGGAAGAGGAACACACTCTCTCTCTCTCTCCAGTCTTCCCCTCTTCCTCAATGAGTGGTATAGTTCCGCCGCCGCTGTCGGGACTTCGCTGCGCGGATCGCGATGTTTTCCGGAGGTTCGGGGCCGTGAGGTCGACCGCGGGGACCGAGTGAGTGAGTGAGTGAGTGAGTGAGTGGTGAACCTTCTGGTGGTGGCGGTGGCGGTGACTCCGGAGACCGGACCGGGAGGAGAGACCGAGAGACCGAGAGAGAAGAGGGAAATAAAACGATAACGATCGTGGATCAAAGTTCCTTTGGTTCCTTTTCTCTGGACGTTGGATATTGTGTGAATCATCTCATCGCTCGAGACAGAGACACCGAGAGAGAGAGTGTCAGTGTCTCTCTCTCTCTCTTTTATATATAAAACTGATTCAAACCCCCACTGTCCCCCTCTCTCTCCGGTGGAGGAGAGGGGGTTTTTGAGGGGAAGGGGTTCCGGGCGCTGTTTGGGGCTCTTAACGCGATCGAACGAACGAACGAACGACCGATCGATCGATCGATCGATTCGACAGAAGAGAAAGAAAGAAAGAAAAAAAAGGAGAAGAAGAAGGAGGAGGAACGTGTGCGTCTGATGTGCGGTGGGACAGCAGCTGAGAGAGCGATTAAGGAGGAGAGACCGGAGCGGTGCGGAGCGGAGCTGTGCGGTGCGGTGCTGTGCGGTGTTGTGCTGTGCGGTGCTGTGCGGTGCGGAGCGGAGCTGTGCGGTGCGGAGCGGAGCGGTGCGGTGCGGAGCGGTGGGATCAGAGCTGAGCCCCGGGGGCGCCGCGGGGCTATGAGGAGCGGTGTCGTGGCTCTCCCTCTACAGCACAAAGGGACTTAGTGCTTCTCAGCCCAGAGAGGGCTCATCGCTTTGTTCTTCCCCCACAACACTGGGAGTGGTTCCTGCTCTCCCCCCCCTCTCTGCCCCTCTCTCTGCCCCTCTCTCTGCCCCTCTCCCCCCTCTCTCTGCCCCTCTCCCCCCTCTCTCTGCCCCTCGCCCCCCTCTCTCTCCCCCTCTCTCTCCCCTCTCCCCTCTCTCTGCCCCTCTCCCCCTCTCTCCCCCTCTCTCTCCCCTCTCCCCCTCTCTCTCCCCTCTCCCCCTCTCTCTCCCCTCTCCCCTCTCTGCCCCTCTCCCCCCTCTCTCTGCCCCTCTCACACTCCCTCTCTCTCCCTCTCCCCCCTCTCTCTCCCCCCTCCTCCTCCCCCCCCTCCCGTGGATCCTCACTCACAGCGTTTTATTTTTTCTGACGAGGGCTCAAGACCCATTGATTGTGTTTCCAAGGATCAGGACTGAGCTCCTTGTGTCCCCCCTCTCCCCCCTCTCCCCCCCACTTCTTTCTTGCTCTGACCCCCCCCCTCCCCCCCCCCCCCTCCCCAGATACACTGCCCAAAAGATGTATCCTCAAGGGAGACACCCGGTAAGTTAGTTGTCTTACAGACTGGTTTGACTTAAGAACTTTGAGCGACTGGAGTTCCTATGTGTGTGTCGTATGTTTTTCGTGTGTCTGTGTGTGTGTATGTATGTTTTTCGCGCGTGTGGATGTGTTTTTCGCGCGTGTTGCGTGTGCGTTTGCGCGTGTTCTTCTCCTGTGTGCGCGCGCGCGTTCGCATGTATTGTGTTGTACGGGTCAAAGCGCTCTGGGACGTCATATAAATGCAAGTCGTCGTCGTCGTTGTCGTTGTTGTTGTGGTGGTGGTGGTGTGTCAAAAAAGGTGCTGCATCCAATTCGAATTGGAGGGATCGATTTGGGTGGGTGAAGTTTTAATAAGTGGGCGGGTGGGCGTGTGTTGAGGGTGTGGGTGGGTGTGAAAGCCGGTTCCTCGCGTGTTTTAGTTGTGGCGTTGTTTCTCTCTCTTTTTTTTAATCTCTTTTTTTTCTCTCTCTCTCTCTCTCTTGTCCAAATAACTCAGGCGCCTCACCAGCCCGCTCAGCCGTTCAAATTCACCGTGGCCGAGTCTTGCGACAGAATCAAAGAGGAATTTCAGTTTCTGCAGGCCCAGTATCACAGGTGGGGGCGTGTGGCTCTTAACGCCTATTTCTGTCTTAAAAGTTTCTTTCTTGTGTTGTGAGTGCGTGTGTGTGTGTGTGTAAAAAAAAGAGCGAGGTGGAAAGTGTGTGTGTGTGTGTGTGTCGCTCTCTTTTCACACATCACTGAATAAAGTCACTATGGCGATCAGATTTGAATAAAATAAAACACTTCCTCCCTCACCCGTAACCTCACGTGACGGCTTGTGGTGTTTTTAATACGCAACAAAAATAATTAGTGTATTATATATTTGTGCAAACTCACCATTTTTAGAGAAAAAAAACAGCTCCTCTCCTTGTTGTGATGGATGTTGGGTCAGTTCCTGGTTAGTTTGGTTAATATGATTACAACATGCAACCACACAAGCACACTCATACTGTATGTATATACACATGCACGCACAGTGTGTGTATATACACACACACAGTCTGAATTTGACACACTCTCTCTTACACACAGCTTAAAGATGGAGTGCGATAAACTTGCTAACGAGAAAACAGAGATGCAGAGGCACTATGTCATGGTAAGCGTGTGTGGTTTGTGTGTGGGTTAAAGTCAGATAATAAGAAAGGGAGGATGGGTGGGAGGGTGGCGGGGGGGGGGGGAGGAAGAGAGATGTATTGAGATTAATCTCTACTTTTTTTCAGGGTCTGAGCCAGGTGGTTACATTGCACCTCATTTAAAATGTGTTGATGTAGACAGGACAGGACAGGACAGGGGACCTACAAGAAGTCGGGAGGATGTCCCAAGGCACTGTGAAAGTGATGGCAGAAAGTGATAACTTTTAAATAATAATAATAAATCCTTGCATTCGATAAAGCGCCTTATCACATCCTTCAGACCTCTCAAAAGCTCTTCACGGAATATATTGTAAAGTGGAGTGACTGTGTTTAAAGTCCAGCTCATGAATATTATAGGCTCTTTAACGATTTTGTGGGGGTTAGATTAGCGGAGTTGCAGTTTTTAGTTCCTGAAACTTGCTTTCGCTGTTTCGGTTTTAAAGGAGTGTGTTGGGGGGAATGGGGGGAGAGCCAAGTTTAATGTAAAAGCAGTGTTAATTTCTGGGAGTTGAGTTCGAGCGAAAGTGGTTAGTGGTTAATCACTTGCCAAATATGTGTTGTAATTTTTCTTGTGTGTGTGATTTCTCTCTCTCTCTCCTCTCTCTCTCTCTCTCTCTCTCTCTCTCTCGTGCTCTCTCTCTCTCTCTCTCTCTTCCGTGTTTATGGATGAGAGCCAATGTTTGGATTAATAATGAGAGCAGGATTTGAGTAAACAGGTTACACACGTGTGGTCTGTGGTGGTAGCGATGATAGCTTCCGTGTGCACAAGTCTCTTTGCTGGGAATGTAAACCCAATGGCGGGCACTGGCAACAGACAAAAGCCAGAGTTCCTCCTTTGAACCGTAAAACAAATTAGCTTGAACAAATTAAAGGGCCATGGACAGAGAGAGGGGGGAGACGAGGGATGGGGAGAGGAGGGTAAAGGGGAAACCATATGGTTTATGTTAAGAGTATTTTTTTTAAAAAGATGCTTTGTTGTAATTCCTGCAAAATAGAGTAAATGTAGTGAGATGTTTTTTTTTTGCTCTTTTTATAATCTTTTGTGTAGTTTTTTTTGAGGATATTAAAGGGAGACACATGGGTTACAGGATAGGCTTTTTTTTAAAAAAAATAAGTGTACTGTATGTAGCGACATTTTATAATCCTTGTCTTTATTTCCCTCTCTCTCTCTCTCTCGCTCTTTCTCTGCTCCTTCCTTTCTTCCCAGTATTACGAGATGTCATATGGGCTGAACATCGAAATGCACAAACAGGTGAGTTTGCACCCCCCCACCCAAGAAAAAAAATCCACATTGTCAATCGTGTTTTGGAAAAGGGAAGGAGTGGGGATGGGGGACGAGGGGGGGGGGGGGGGTGGGGGGGGGGAATGAAAGGATAGCTGTAACAGCAAACTTTGTCATTTCTTTTGCAAACAAAAATAACCCGAGTTGTAATTTCACGGATTAAGCAGATGTGGGCAAGATTTATGTGGGTGCAGTTCATCAATTGACCACTATTTGGCGCTGTAACCCACCCCTGACTCGCTCAACGTCTGGTCTCCGGGCTCCTTCCAGCTGCGTACCCCTCCCTCACCCCCACCCCCACCCCCTCCCTCACCCCCACCCCCACCAACGCACAATCCAAACACTTATCCGTCTCCGGTTCCGGAATAACTGCGCAGAGTTGTACGTTCATAATTCGATGTGCAGTGAAGCTTTAATAACGTGACACTGAGTTCAGCTGTAAAATAAACAGTCACTACACTTTACAGTGAATCCTGCGACGCGCTTTGAGACGGCTCTTTAAAAAAAAAACCCACAGGTGATTTTCTTTGAAGAGCGAATCCACGAATGGGACAGGAACAATAATAACATTCCCTGTATTTGATACAGCGCCTTGTCACGTCGTCGAGATGTCTCAAAGCGCTTCGCGGAATCTATTGCAAAATGGAGTGACTGTATTTTGTGCTCTCTCAGAGAACAAAGGCCTTAATCTTTAAGGCCTTCGCTCTTTGAGAGGCTGCGATTTGATATGGATCTAATCTTTATTGAGTTTTTATTTTCTTGAAGCTGCATAAATTGTTCTTGCGGATTAGATGGGGTGGGGGGACGGGAGAGTATTGAATGTTGGGTCAGTTATGTGAGCCAGTGCAGCGACAGACTACAATCTGTGTCCATCGGTGTTGGCGAGTGGTACAGTCTGGTACAGATGGGGTTTATACTTTAATGCTGAGAAGGTGCCTAAAACACCAGCCTGATCTTACTCGCAACGCTCACTCTTTGTAAGGTAGGGCTTACAGTAATGCTATCCAGGCGAGTGGAGTGGGGGGGGATATCCGTGGACTTTGGTGTCCACGCCTTGGTTTAGAATCTGTCTGAGCTCTGCTGAATGATGTTGGCCGGGATTGTCTCACAATGTGGTGAGAGAAGCTTTCAGTCCACAGAGGGCATTGGGCAGGAGCCGGGCTGAGAGATCAAAGCTTGTAACTGCAGCTAATTTGCACTCGGGGAGAATTAAAATGAGAGTACTCGTAGCTCAGCGGTTACAGCACTCGCCTCGCGAGCGAGAGGACCTGGCTTCGATTCCCGGGCAGGGCAAAATCTTAAGCAAGTTTCCTCACTCCACACACACACACACACACACCTCTGTTTACCAAGCAGTAAGTAGGAACCCGGTTGTTAGATGATTGACGGATCGCATTACGGGGGTAATCTGTCAAAAAAAAAAATTGTTTGTTCCACAAACAGTCGTGGATTGGGTCACTCCCTCACCCACCCGAGAGAGAGAGAGAGAGAGAGAGAGAGTGTGTGTGTATGTGTGTGTGCGCACACTTGTGAAACTATAAGTCCTTACTCGTACGTCAATATGAGATGCTCAAACTACACGCCATGTCAGCATTCTCACATATCAACTCAGTGGCCAAAACTTCCACAATCGCAATGAAAGACATCTCCTATAATAGCCGGGCGCTCATTAAGAAATAATAAACGAACATAATTAATAATTAAAAGCTCTATGAATAAGGGCTTCTGATTCACGCTGTGTTAAAAAGGTCGCAATGATTTGTTGCATGTCTCAAAAAGGGCCAGAGGTGGTGTTTTCTCTGGTGTGGGGGCTGGAATGCGCTGATTGTACGGTGGGTGGGGGAGGCAGGGAGTGCCCAGAGGAAGGGCACATAGTTGTCTCAAAGGGAGGAATGAAGTTACTAAGATAGAACCAGATAATTTTTGGTCTCCTGTTGCTAATGATGTGTTTATGTTGCTGCCAGTGACCTGGGGCTGGGATTGGGAGTTGGGGCTTGTCTGGCCACTCGCTGTGTAACGCTGGGAGATAAGAGCTTGGTTTGCCCGGGTGTGGGCAGTGCAGAGCTGCTGACCTGTGCTGACATGTGGCTGACCAGGGAGGGAGGGGGGAAATGGGCAACGATGTCTGAATTGAGAGGCTCCTTAATAATTATCTTTACATTTGATGCAGCGCCTTATCACGTCGTTGAGACGTCTCGAAGCGCTTCACAGAATGCACTGCAAATTGGGAATTGTCGAATTAATTATATCAATCGGAATGAATGTATGATTGCTGGTGGGTGTAGTGACTGTGTGTTTTGCAGGCGAATACAGCTGCCAATCTGCGCATAGCAACATTCCACACTTTTGTAATAATTATTATTACTAACGAACACAATACGTTTGCTACAGCGCCCAGAAAAGTGCTGCTCAAGAGTTCTGCTGTTAAGGTGCAAGTGACTGTAGGTGACCTCCTCGATGCACTGTTGGAGGAATCTTGTTGAGCGCGAGTGCTTTTCCTGGAGTACTGACAGTGATGAGGCGAGCGCAGTGTATACACACTCCTCTCTGGCCTAAACATTGCAACGAGGCTTCCTTCCTGAAGGCTTGAGGCCCTCAGTGAATCTCCTGCCTGTACCAGGGCGAGTTCACAGCCATCAATAAAAGCCGCGCAGTATTTTGACTTTTCCAAGTGGAGCACTTTAAACCCCTGGTGTGGCCGATCTCACACAGCCAGACAGGAGAGAGAGAGAGAGAGAGACATAAACCAGGGCTCATCCTTGCAAATGCTTACTCTCTCTCTCCTCTTTCTCTCTCTTCTCTCTCTCCTCTTTCTTTCTCTCTCTTTTCATTTCTCCGTCCTCGCTTTTTTCCTCTCTCTCTCTCTCTCTCTCTCTCTCTCCGTGGATTAATTTCCGGGGGTAATAATCCCTTCCAAAAAAAAATAAAAAATTATTGGGCCCCTCAATCCACGACTGTCTGTGGGACGCTGCTGTGTGTAATTGGCTGCTGCCTTTCGCCCACGAAATACACAGTCACTCCACTTTGCAATATATTCTGTGAAGCTCTTTGAGAAGTCTCAACGACGGCTGGACCAGACGTTAAAATTGACGAAATTTGCTTTCTTTTTTCTTTCTCCCTCTCTCCCCACATACACAGACTGAGATTGCTAAAAGACTCAACACCATCTTGGCACAGATCATGCCCTTTCTTTCACAAGAGGTAAGTTTCCTTTGTTGCTGTGGTTGATGGTTGGGTCCTGGGTTGGCTGGGGTTGCTCTCTGTCGGCTTGTTCTTATCTCGGCCTTGCCGAGGTCTACAAAAAATAACATTGGTTAACAAATACCAGCGCCTTTCACGTAGTGATTTTTGGGGGGGGGGCGGGAGTGAAGGGAGGGAAGAGCAATTGGAAATAGTGGGCTTCGGAGACAACGACATTGAACCTCAATATCTCACCTGCACGGTGTCTGTCTTTCAGTATTTTTCTGGTTTCTGATTTGTGTTTTTTTTTCTCTCTCCCTCTCTGCCTTTTTTTTCTCTCGCTTTCTCTCTCTCTTTGTGTCTGTCTCCCCCCTCCCTACCCCCACTCTCGCTCCCCCTCTCCCTCAGCACCAGCAGCAGGTAGCCCAGGCAGTTGAACGTGCCAAGCAGGTGACGATGACGGAGTTGAACGCGATCATCGGGGTACGTGGAGTTCCCAATCTGCCTCTCACCGTGTGTATACCCTCTTCTTCCTCTTCACACCGCCATTCGTGGGCAATCGTGCAGTCAGTCTGGGAAAGGACGATGGCCTCAAACCACAAACATCCCCTCCCTCAGGTTCACCAGTTTGCCGAGACCAGAGTTCCCACCCCCCACCTTCCCAAGCCTGGCCGGGGAATTGCCTCCTTTCAGCGACTGACTGAGCGATTGGTCCCGACCGGCCACGTGTTTTTACCGTAGATAGATTGATTGATTGATTGGTTGATTGATTGATTGATCGAGTTGGATGGATGGATTGATATACATTTGAGGGGTGCGATCACTGTAGCCAGTGCCGGGATTGAAGGTGACCATCTGTTGGGGCTGTCAAATGATAGCGGAGGAGAATATTGGACTAAAAGGAATTCAATGAATGGCTCAAACCAGCGTTTTGTCCAATTTTCACCCACAAAACACGCAGTCAATTCCCTTTACAGTGTATCCTGTGAAGCGCTTTGAGACGTCTTGAAACGTGATCAGGCGCTGGATCAAATGCAAGGATTATTATTATTTGTCAACTAAACCGTGAAGTCTCTCCCCTTCGCCAGCTGCAGTGAGGAAGGCAATCTCTACCCTCTGATCCCCAGGATTCTCATTTTAAAGCTTTTAAAGGTTTTCGTTTTCGGTGGTAATGGGAAGTGGCGCGAGAGACTATAAAAAGTTGCGGTCAGATTAGCCTCCCCTTTAAAGCAGTCCAAGAGAGGCTCAGAGGCAGGTCACGGCAGCTGGAGGGAGATATTGCAATTCAATTAAGGCAAATGAACAGAGCCTGTGACCCCCGTTTTAGGGTAATTGCTTCCTCCGATCAAACTGAATCCAACTGCTGACATGTCATTGAAGCTCACAGGCATTCAGGCGTTTGCTGCTGTTTAGTAGCGGTTAGCGCACGCGCCTCGCAAGCGAGAGGACCCGGGTTCGATTCGACACACGCACACACAATTGGCGGATCGCTTTCTGGGGGTAATAATTCCTCCAAATGAAAAATATCTTTTAAAAAATCTAATAATAATTTGGTCACTCACTCAATCCACCATTGTTTGTGGGACGCTGCTGTGCGCAATTGGCTGCCACTTATTTATTTATTTATAAGATAACTTGTTTGGGTTGTGATCTGATCACCAGACACTTTGGTGGGGTGTGGGGTGGAAACAGCCTGAAGAGAGAGCCTGTGATCTCAGTTGTGGGTGGTTGGAGTAGTTCTGCAGCCGGCTGACTGTGCTGACCTGACTCACCCCATAGCCTCAGGCTGACTAAACAGTCTGTAGTTGTGCAATGGGTGCGTCAAGTTGATTTAACCCACCGCCCGCCTGTCTACCCGCCATTTTCCCCACAGCTCTTGAGCTCTGTGCCCTGCTAAGCTCTGCGCTGCTGTGTGGGGGGAGGCCTGGGCAGTTGTTGTGGTCAGTCCGCCCTTTCCACGACTAAACTTTTGGGCAGCAAAGAGCCGGCGTTCCGGGGGCGAGGAATGATGGCAACATGACGGTCACTAAGCTTCCCAGGAAGTCCACGGCCCCTCATCCCCCGACTCGTGAGCGCAGACTCCGATTTCCTTTTCTCTCTCTCTCTCTCTCTCTCCCTTTCCCATTCTCTCATTTTCTCGTTCTCTCCTTTTTTTATTATTTTTTTAATCTCTGTCTCTCTCTGTTTTCTTTCCTCTCTCTTTCTCTGGTCCATCTCTGCCTCCCTCCCTCCCTCCCTTCCTCCCGGGCAATCAGATACCAAAATAAACCCCAGTCTCCTGTGAATCAGATGTTGGCTGACGCAGGGCAGTGCAATGGTGAATTATCGCTGCATTCTTCAGTCTAAGTAAATAGCCACATCATGTGCTCAGTCAGGGCAGTCATGTCTTCTGCATGTCACATGGAGCCAACACATTGCATCACAGTCAGTATTGTGCTCGTAGGGGGTGTGGGGTGGGGGGGGGAATGCAGTAGAGACTTTACCACCCCCTTGTGGTACTGTAGCCTCGTGCAAAGGTTATGGTTTGAGTGGGGGTAAGGGGGAAAGGAATGGGAGTAGATGGAATTGGGGGGGTGGGGGGTGGAGGTTAGTTGCTGACAGCCCTCAACTGATGTCGATCCAAATTCCTCGCCATTTCGAGTCGATGTAAAATGTGTTGTGTTTTTTTTTTTAAAAAATGGGTTCGAGGAACACTGAAACTTCTTTAAACAAATTATTTGATGTTTGTAAAAGTAAGAATTTTTTGCTTTTGCGTTGTGTGTGTGTCGTATGGAGGTTAGGAGGTGTGTGTGTGTGTGAGAGGTGTGTGTGTGTGTGTGAGGTCAGGGTGTATTTGGTGTGTTTGAGAGAGAGAGGAGTTGGGATGTGTGGTGCGGGTGTGTGTATAATAATAATAATCCTTGCATTTGATATAGCGCTTTTCACGTCGGGAGGACGTCCCAAAGCGCTTCACAGAACACACTGTAAAGTGAATTGACTGTATATTTGTGGGCGAACGCGGCAGCCAATTGCGCACAGCAATGTCCCACAAACAGTCGTGGATTGAAAATGACCAATTTATTATTGTTTTGGGTTTTGGAGGATTATTATTAGGCTCTGTGTGGAGTAAGGAAACTTGCCTGTGGGTCAGGTCGGTATGAATGGTGAGGGTTTGTGTGTGAGGAGGTCAGGGTGTGTCAGTGACGTGGAGGTCAGGATGAATGGGGAGACGGTGTGTGAAGTTAAGGTGTGTGTGGTTAGGGTGTGTGTGTGTGGGTACTATTGAGCTCAGGGTGAATGGGGAGTGTGTGTGACGTCAGTGTGTGAGAGAGGTGCATATGTGTGTGGTATGGAGGTCTGTGCGTGTATGACATGTGTAGGTCGGGGTGATGGAGAGGGAGGGTGTGTATAAGCGTGTGTGTGTGTATATTGAGGTCGGGGTAAATGGGGTGTGTGAGTGAGGTCTGTGAGAGAGGTGCGTGTGAGTGTGCGTGTGGTATGGAGGTCAGTGTGTGTGTGTGTGGGTCAGGGTGAGAGGTGTGTGTGGGGTCAGGGTGAATGGGGAGGGGGTTACTTTAACCGATAACCTCTGAAAATGTTTTTGTTTAATTTCCCAGCAGCACCACATTATCTACCCACCTTTCATGGTTAGTCCGTCGCTCCTGAAATCTCTTTTTTTTTCTCCCCCCACCCCCCCCCCCCCCCTTTCTCTCTCTCTCTCTCTCTCTCTCCCTCTCTCTCTCTCTCTCCGCTGCGCGCATGCTGACCGTGTGACTGACTGAGCGACTGTGTCTGCAGGGCAGCCGTGCATGCCCGCCAGCAATGCCGCTTCACCCCCTCAGGCCGCCGTGAAATAACCCCCACATCAGCAACCCCGGCCGCTGAGCTTCTTAAAGAGGCAGTGTCCCACGTCCCACTCCTCTCCTGCTAGCTATCGCAGTTTGATTGACATTAGCACAGGACCCCCCCCCCTCTCTCTCTCTCTCTCTCTCTCTCGTTTACCCCTGGCCTCGTTGGATGATCCCCAGCGCTGACCCCAAGCTTTGCTTCCGAGGCATTTCGCTATTTTTTTCCCCCTATTTTGTCCCAGAGCAGCTCAGGGCATATTGTGAGCGGACGTCAACCGTTAGTTTGGGAGGAGGGAGGGGTTAACCAGATGTGCCGGTCAAACTGGTTCGGTGCAGACAGAAGGGAATTGGTTTGGGGCACGGCAAGGAACCTTAATAACCTCTTGTTTTTAGGGCCTTGACCTCCTTTGCCTCCCCCACACACACACACACACACCACCATTGCCTGAACCACCCAAGCGATTAGCATCTCAATAGACAACCCCAACCCCAATTACAGTACAGATTCTCTTCCTTACCCCACACGCCTCTGTTTACTCAGCAGTGAGTAGGAACCCGGTTGATAGTTGATTGGCAACGCTCCTAACCTCTGGAACTCTCTCTCTCCCTTCTCCCTCGCTCATTTTTGGCAGGGAGGGTGGTCTCTGGCTCATTGTGGTGAGGGCTTGATGGTCGTTAAGCCTGGCACAAACCCGTAATGGAGTGGGTGAGGGGGTGAAGGCCATAACTTGGTGACTGTTCTCTCTCTTGAATCAGTTCAGGCTCGACTTGACTGTCTGTGACTTACACCTTTAATGAACCTCCTGCCACTGTTTTTTTCTCCCCCCGTCCACCAACCCCCACACACACACACACACACGCTCCCACTCCCCCCTCAGCCCCACACACACGCTCTCTCTCCCTCCCCCTCCCCTCCGCCCTAAACGGGACCCTGGATGCTTTTTCAAGGTTGTTTTTGGAGTTGAGGTACAGGTCAGCCATGATCTCATAGAATGGTGGAACAGGCTCGAGGGCTGAATGGCCTCCTCCACTTCCTATGTTCCAATGTTTTATTTTTGCGACATTTTTCCTTTTTTTAAAAAAAATCTGATTTAAAAAATGTTACTCATGGGATCTTTCCCTCTCTCTCTATCTCTCTCTCTCTCTCTTCCCTTTGTATATTTTGCTGCTGTCGCCCTCCTCTGCCTTCCTCTTCCTCCCTCCATCTTGCTCCTCTCTCCATCTTCCTCTTCCTCCTCCTTGCCGGTTGTTTTCCCACCAACGTCCCTCTGCTCTTGGTTTCCTCACAGCAGCAGCAGCTACAAGCCCAGCACCTGTCCCACGCCCACGCTCCGCCTGTCCAGCTTCCCCCCCACACCTCAGGCCTGGCCCCCCAGGGCATCCCATCCGTGGTGGGGGGAGCCTCGGGTCTGCTCGCCCTGTCCGGGGCACTGGGCAGCCAAGGCCATCTGTCAGTCAAGGACGAGAAGAACCACCATGAGCTGGATCATCGAGGTGAGCGGTCAGGGTGGGGGATGAGGGTTTTTGGGGGGATGAGGTGTCGGGTTGGTTTGGGGTGATGGGGGGGAGGTTGAGGGGTCAGTGTAGGGGTGAGGGACCGGATGGAAGGTGGGACCTGCTATAGACTTAATGACGGAGCTCCCCTGACGGGGCTAGTTATTCTTGGGGTGGGGTGGGTGGGTGGGTGAGGGGGGGGTTGTTGGTAATATTCAGCCGAAGATTGTGCAATATTTACTTTGGGATAAAATTGGGATTTGCTGATCTGGAATGAATTCCTGTCTGTACAAGTGTACAAGTTGCTTTGAGCAGCCGGTGTCTGGGGGAGGGGGTTAACGTCAAAAGTTTTTGTTTCTTTTACTAACCATTTTACTATTATCTGGACTCATTCTCTACCCCCCCCCCACCCCACCCACCTCCTCGCAACTCGATTGCTGTTACCATGATAACCCGACACCCTCCTCACTGGGCTGTTGTGATGTCCTCCCCACAGACCGGGACTCCAGTGTGGTGAGTCACAATAACGCGCACACACCCACCCGCCCGCCCCGTCACACGCTCACACACTTGAGCGTATGCAAAGCCGTGCACGCGCACTCTCACACACGCCACATACACGCTCTCATGCACACGTACAAATGCATGTGCACAAACACTCATATGTATGTGTACAGGCAAATGCACACACATGCACTTGGAGCTGGAGAGGAGACATTTTCTCTTAGAGGGGAACATTCTGTTCCTGCTCCTTGTTTAGGGAGCCGTGGGGTGTGGGGGGGTATGTGTAGTGGATGTGTTGTATATGTGTGTGTGTGTGTGTGTGTAAGTGGGGGTATAGATGTGATGCACACCCTGCTGGACTGTGCTAAGTGGCCCTGGGCTATGCCAGGCTGTGCTCTGCCTGTCTCTCTGGCTGTGAGAGGAGTATGAGATCGACGGGAAGCTTTGTGATGGCCTGGAGTTCCTGCTGTGCGTTTGTGTTTCGAGTGAGCGAGTGCGATGAATGTGTGCACTCAGGGTTGAAGGAATAAAAATCCCCTGGTGATTAAGAAGCCATTTTATCGTTGATCGGGACTGTTCTGTTAACCAGGGTCAGGCTGACGAGGGGCGTTGGGGGCTTGTTCGAGTCTTGTTCGTGTGACGAGCTGATGTTTAACTCTTACAGAATCTCTCGCTTCCGCCTGGCTTCTCCTGTTCATCTCCCTCGCCCCTCACTGGCCTTCCTCTGCCTCAGAGCTCGCAACTGGCCCCCAGCCCGGCTCGGGCTATACGCACCCTCCTCCCCTGCCCCCTCTTTAATTCTGAGAGGTCGGGGGGGGAGTGATCGGTGGGTGGGAGGAAGCATGGCTTCTTTTCAGGCCTTTACCCTGCTCAGTTTTTGCAAGAACCTTTTTTTCTCTCTCTCTCTTTTCTCCCCTCCCCGTCCCCCGTCCCCCGTCCCCCACGCCACAGAGGTTTAGAAATCAATGGGTTGGTGTTTAATGGAGGAAGGCGGCTGATTAGCGAATATCGTGAAAGGCACCGTGTGAACGTAATGTGTTGTTGTTGTTGTTAAGTCGGGCCCAGCCTCGTGTTGTGGTTTCCAGCCAAGTCCCTTTTCTCTCCCCTTTGTGCAGCTGAGTCGCTGAGAGGTTTCTCTGGGAGCATCTGAATAGGTGGCTGCAATCCTCCTTGTTTTGATGCTTTCGTCTCTCTCTCTCCCCCCCCCCCCCCCGCCCGCACGCTCTCCTCTCCTCTCCGCCCTTTGTGAAGGAGTTCAATGACTGTGCATCTGTTCGGAGCGGTTGAGCTTTGATGCAACACTTGTAGTCTTAAGTGGCTGTCGATTCGATTCAAAACAGATCTTTTAATCCCTGCCTAACCCGCCTCTTTAACAAGGCTTTTTTGGAGGGGGTGGGGGGTGTGGGCGGGGGTTGCAAATGTGGGAATGTTATGTGCACAGATCTGTCCTCATTCTCTTCCCACACACACCCTTCTTGCTAACCGCCCTCCACCCCCCCCCCCCCCCCACGCACACCCCGTTCAGGAACTGTACAGAAAGGGGTTGTTAAATCACGGCTAATCCCCGTCAGCCCTGTAGCATCCCGGCTCTCCTTTGTTCTCAGTCGCCGCTTAAGACATTCCCCTGATTTATACATCCGGCCTCGTGGTTTGTATCTGTATCTGTGTGTGTGTGTGTGTGTGTGTGTGTGTGTGTGTGTGGTGGGGGTGGGTGGGGTGGGGTCACTTTACGGTATATTCTGTGAAGCGTTTTGAGATGTCGCGATGACGTTATATCAAATGCAAGGATTATTATTATTATTATTATTCTGCAAATTGGTTCATGTACGAGCTCGCTGTTTAATCTCCCCACACACACACACACACACACACACACGGTGCTGCTCTCAGATCTCCCCCTCCCCCCACCCCTGGTGTTGTACAGCCATCGCTCTGCCCGGCCCTCTCATCCGCTCCTCTTGTTTTTCGCAGAATAACTCCGTGTCTCCGTCAGACAGCCTGAGGCCTGGAGACAGGAGCCGGGGCTCCGCGGACTACATGGAGGCCAAGAAACGCAAGGTGGAGGAGAAGGAAAACATGAGCAGATACGTAAGTCTCTTCCCCCTCCGCCCCCCACCCCCCACCCCCAGTCCAGCCCCTCATACCAGCCTGGCACTCACTCACTCACTCACTCGCTTTGCCTCTGGGTCATAAAGTTGTGGCTTCAAACCCCCAGATCGTGGCTTCCAGGTCGAGGGCAAAAACTACTGATGGGGGGCGGGGGTGGGTCGCGGGGGTGGGTGCGGTGGTGGGAGGATCTGATGCTGATCAGACTGACGTGGGTGTAACTAGTGCTGCTCTCCTCTCTAGGACAGTGATGGAGACAAGAGTGATGACTTGGTTGTGGACGTTTCAAACGAGGTAAAGGCCTGCCTCCTCCCTCTGCGCGCGCTTGCGTGCTCGTGCGTGTGCGGCTGGCCGACGAGACGTGTGAGACGCGTGTGTGATTGTGTGTGACTCGGTCTCTGTGCGGTGGTGACTGGGCTGTGCCAGTCAGTGACTGCTGTGCCGGGTGGCCTGTGTCTGTCGTGTCAGTCGTCTGCCTTGTCGGGGTGGGGGGTGTGGACCAGACGGTGACCGTGTTGTTGTGTTTTGCCGGCAGGACCCGGCCACTCCTCGGATCAGCCCGGCACACTCCCCCCGGGAGAACGGGGTGGACAAGCCCCGGGGGATGAAGAAAGATGCTCCCAACAGCCCCGCCTCAGTCGCCTCCTCCAGCAGCACCCCGTCCTCCAAAACTAAAGACCTCGGTCACGTAGGTACAGCGCAAACTCCCCCCCCCCCCCACCCACACACACACCACTGCTCCACCCCCTCCCCCCAACTTGTAGGTACAGCAGCTCCATTCCATTGGGGAGTCCTGCAGCTCAGTGGTTAGAGCCCTCGCCTCGCAAGCCAGAGACGTGGGTTCGATCCCCCGGGCAGAGGGAAACGTTGGGCGAGATTCCTTACTCCACGCACAGCGATGCTCCGGTTGTTAATAATGTATGTTTTTCTGTACAATCTTACAATCCTGCTGTCCGGGGCCTGAGGCTGGGGGTGGGGTGAGGGGTGGGGGGTGGGATATCCCGGCTTCGGGGACAGTTACTGGGCACTAATCACCATCCTCTTCCCCCTCAGAACGACAAGTCATCGACGCCCGGCCTGAAGTCCAACACGCCCACCCCCCGGAACGAGGCACCCACCCCCGGCACCAGCTCCACACCAGGCCTCAGGCCCATCCCAGGCAAGCCTCCCGGCATGGAGTCCTTAGGTACATACACTCATACATACACACAGATACACACACGCACAACCCCATATACACACACATATACACACACAGGCCTATATATATATATACACACACACAGGCCTATATACACACGCGCACACACTAACACGCTATATGTGTACACACACACCTCTCCCAGCGCCAGTGCTTGTTGTTAATGACTGCTTCTTTTGGTGAGTGTGGGCAGGGGGTGGAGGTCATATCGGTCAGTTCGGTTGGACACTGGACGGAGAATAACATGTGGGGTGGGGGTAGGGTTGGGATCTCAGACCAAAAAATTGTCGGGGGCAGAAAGAGCAAATCGTGTGTGTGTGAAATGATTCAATATTGTAGCAGAGAGAGAGAGCGCGAGTTCCCTCCGGTTTCTCTCACTCCCCCCTCCCCACCTGATGCTGAATGTTGTGCTGCGTTTGATCCCCAGCCCCCGCCCTGCGGACGCCCATCTCCATCGCCGGCTCCTACGCACCGTTCGCCATGATGTCCCACCACGAGATGAACGGGGCACTGACCAGCCCTGGGGGCTACCCTGGGCTCCACAGCCTCTCCCCCCAGATGAGTGCCGCGGCCTACCGAGCCCCCATGGTGAGCTTCGGAGCTGTACGTAGACAATCTTACCCACTTTCACTGCTCAGTTGCGTTACCGGAAATTATTTCCCACGTCCGCACTGTGTGACTTCACTGACCCACACCCCCCACCTCTCTCCCGCCCCCACTCCCTCCTCTGCCCTCTCCCCACAGGTCAGCTTTGACCCCCACTCTCACATGAGAGCTTCAGGGCTGCCATCAAGTCTGGCTTCCATCCCAGGAGGAAAACCGTAAGTCGCCTTTTGATTCAGAATTTCAATACAGTCGGGGAGGGGGGATGTGGTGGGTGGGAGGGGGTTGATGGAGGGGGTCAGTGAGGATGTTAAATGCTGTAAACGGGCATTGAGGGAGAACTGCATGGCCTTGACTTTGTTTACTAGCTGATAAGGCCGAGTGGAGGACAGTGAAGTTATACAATCAGATATATATGAGTTTTACTGTATAAGAGTCCTGTAGCTCAGTGGTTAGAGCACTCGCTTTGCAAGTGAGAGACCTGAGTTCAATCCCAGGCAGAGGGCGAAACCTTGGGCAAGTTTCCTTACTCCACACAGAGCCTAATAATAATCCCTCCAAAACCAAAAACAATAATAAATTGGTCATTTTCAATCTACGACACTTTGTGGGACATTGCTGTGCGCAATTGGCTGCCGCGTTCGCCCACAAATATACAGTCAATTCACTTTACAGTGTGTTCTGTGAAGCGCTTTGGGACGTCCTCCCGACGTGAAAAGCGCTGTATCAAATGCAAGGATTATTATTATTATAAGAGTCAAATCCCTTTACAATATCCTCTGAAGAGCTTTGAGCCATCTCAGGGATGGGATATTAAATGCTATTATTATTTTTTTATTATTATCATCGTTAAGTCAAATTCCCTGATGGGCCCCTCTCCTGACATGCTGTCTCCCCAGGGCCTATTCCTTCCACGTCAGCGCGGACGGTCAAATGCAGCCGGTGCCGTTCCCTCCGGACGCGCTGATTGGGCCCGGGATCCCACGTCACGCCCGGCAGATCAACACCCTGAGCCACGGGGAGGTGGTGTGCGCGGTGACCATCAGCAATCCTACCCGGCACGTCTACACCGGCGGCAAAGGTTGCGTCAAGATCTGGGACATCAGCCAGCCCGGCAGCAAGAGCCCCGTCTCTCAGTTGGATTGTCTGGTGAGCAGAACCTTGTCCTACAGATCGTGTCCAGCAGGAAGTAGGAACTCAGTTGTTAGTAGATTGGGGGGGTGGGTGGGTGGGGGGAGTTGCTTTCCCGGAGGAAAATAAATAATCCCTTAAAAAAATCCACCACTGTTTGTGGGGACGCTGGTGGGCGCAATTGGCTGCCGGGTTTCGCCCACAGAAGACAGTCACTACACTTTACAGTATATTTTGTGAAGCACCTTGAGACGTCTCGAAGACGTGATGAGGCGCTGGGTCAATTATGTCAATTGCGAGGGGTTATTATTGAAACCACGGAATACCTGCCTTGAAATAACAGCAGGGTCTGTGTCTCTTGTGTGTCTCTCTCTCAGAACCGGGATAACTACATTCGATCCTGTAAGCTGCTGCCTGACGGCCGGACCCTGATTGTGGGGGGGGAGGCCAGCACGCTCACTATCTGGGACCTGGCCTCGCCCACGCCCAGGATCAAGGCTGAGCTGACCTCCTCGGCTCCCGCCTGCTACGCGCTGGCCATCAGCCCCGACGCCAAGGTCTGCTTCTCCTGCTGTAGTGACGGCAACATCGCAGTGTGGGACCTGCACAACCAGACGCTCGTCAGGTGAGGGGTCTGGGGGGGGGGGATGGGGGGCGAGAGTCTGGCGCTGTACAGTAAAACTCACTGTCGTCTGATCTTCATAAATCGTATAAATACACATCGTATTACAAGGCGAAACGTTGGGCAAGTTTCCAGCCAATTGTGCCCAGTCGTGTGGGTGGATGAGCGTGTGGGTGGGTGAGCGTGTGGGTGGGTGAGCGTGTGGGTGGGTGAGCGTGTGGGTGGGTGAGCGTGTGGGTGGGTGAGTGTGTGGGTGGGTGTGCGTGTGAGGGAGAGTGGAATAACGGGCCCAATATGAAGCAGCTGAGGCACATTGGAGCCTCATTGCTGGGGCTCAAAACCTCACTGGCCTGAGGACCATCTCCAGTCGTGTCCGTGCTGCCAGGGGACAAAACGTTAGCGTCCGGCCATCTTGTGAATGGACTCTTTCTCTGGAATACAAATGTCATTTGTTGTTGTTGTTGTGAACCAGGCAATTCCAAGGCCACACAGATGGCGCCAGCTGCATAGACATCTCACACGACGGCACAAAGCTGTGGACGGGCGGCCTGGACAACACTGTGAGGTCCTGGGACCTCAGGGAGGGACGTCAGCTGCAACAGCACGACTTCACCTCACAGGTGGGGGCCGGGGTCTGTGGAGGGAGTGGCGGTTGGGGCTGTACATGTCTGTGCATTTGCAGGGGTGTGTGTGTGTGTAGGGGAGGCTGTGTATGTATGTGTGAGTGTGCGAGGAGCCTGTATGTGTGTGGCCTCTCTGTATGCGTGGAGGGGGGTGGGTGCTGTGTGTGTGTGTGCGCTCGCTGACCCCTGCCCTGTGCCCACACAGATCTTCTCTCTGGGTTACTGCCCCACGGGCGAGTGGCTGGCTGTAGGGATGGAGAGCAGTAATGTGGAGGTGCTGCACCACACCAAGCCCGACAAGTACCAGCTTCACCTGCACGAGAGCTGTGTGCTGTCACTCAAATTCGCCTACTGCGGTGAGTGGTGAGCCATGAGGTGGGCGGGGGGGGGGAGACTGGGGAGTGGGGGGCGAGACTTTAGCAGGGTGGCAGAGACCAGCAGAGAATGTAGGGGGTGGGGGGGCAGAGGAGCAACAGGGGCTGCTGATGTTTCTAACGCCCGATCTGTCTGCTGTCTTTAGGCAAGTGGTTTGTTAGCACCGGCAAAGATAACCTGCTGAATGCTTGGAGGACGCCATACGGTGCGAGTATATTTCAGGTGAGAGATGAGAGACGTTTTCCTGTCGAGGCCTTTGAGACGTCTCGAGCCCCTAATAAGGCGCGATATCAAACACAAGGATTAGTATTAAACCTGAGTTGGACTACCCTGAATCTCTCTCTCTCTTCTCTCCCCCCCACAGTCGAAGGAGTCCTCCTCTGTTCTAAGCTGTGACATCTCGGCTGACGACAAGTACATTGTGACGGGTTCGGGTGATAAGAAAGCCACGGTGTACGAGGTGATCTACTGAGCGCAACTTACCCACCCAGTGACGGGGGTCCGAGGGTCTGGGACTCCGGAGTTCAGGGCTCGCCCGACCTGCCTGTGGGCGGGAGGGGGAACAGGAGGAGGAACCGCACGTTGAATACGGCCAGCGGAGACCCCAACCCCCCCCACCCCTCCCCTCGTGGAAACAAGGCTGGTGCGAAGGACCTTCCGAGTCTCACAGACTCCAGTCTCTTTGTGGCTGTAAAGAGATGGCATCGCTGAGCTGATCTGGGGATATTTAAGTGCTTTTTTTTAACCCCCCCCCCCCCACCCATGAACTTCGAGGCTTAAAATTGAAGGCCGGCCTGCTTCTTACCTGACAATTCTCTGCCCCCCCCATTATAAAAGGACTGTGCTGTGTGTTAGATCCGTGAAGAAAAGGTGCTTTTGCGTTTGGGATGGAGACGATGGCTGTTCAACCCCTGCCCTCCCCCCCCCCCGCCCCCGGGTGCTTACGGAGTTGGTGGTTGGATCTCTGGATGTATCGCTGGTGAGGATTGTGCAGGACTCATGCTGTTCCCCGCCACCGGCTGTGCTCAGGAAATGTGCCGGGAAGAACACGTGGATTTGGGAGAGTGTTGGCCGCTGAGCCCAGGAGAACACGGCTTCCGATCCTCCCAAATAGGCCCGGAGCGGAGAATCTGAGCTGTTCTGGATGTTTCTACGGTTCCCGTGCATTGTGTAGAACATTCCGGTCCTTTCTGTGTACATACGTTCCGATTCCGGAAGCCAAACGGGCAGTTTTACTTCCCCCCCACTCCCCTCCAACCCGCCAACAAACAATATTGATTTGACTGGCAGTCAATCATCTCTGAGCCTCACGAGAGGGAGGATCCGGAATGGTGGGGGGGCCCAGGACGGGAGGGGGACCATCTCATCCCCAACCTGATAACCAACTGAATAGTCACAGCCAACTCTTGAGTAGAGCGAGAAAGGGAGACACGCTCTTGGTCTCCATTAAGTACAAATCTCTTGGGCTTGGAGTGGGAGGGAGGGGGAGAGAGAGAGAGAGAGAGTGTGGGTGGGGGGTGAGAGGAGAGAGAGAGACTGCAAAACGGGGAGCAGAATCCTTGCCTTTCTCCTCTCAAACCTTTACATCTTCACACCACACACTTCTCCTCAATGACTTCCATAGCGGAGCCGTGTGCCGTGTGAGTGAAACGTTACTCCCGGGATTTAAAGAGTAAAATCCACACTGTGATTTTTCTTTAAGGAAAGTTAATTTTTTTCCCCCCCTCCCCACCCCTCCTGAGGTGATTATTGTAACTTTTCTCCCCCTTTGCCCCCCCCTCCCCCTCCATCCCCACAAAAGTTTGGTGAAGGACTTGCCAATTTTGAGTGTAAATAATACTCAAAAAGTTTTTAATCGAACATTTTTTTAATATATTTAAAATGCAAAAAAAATCTTGAGTTGAAATTAATGTACAGAGGCTGAGGCTCGGGATACACACAAACCACTTGGGGCGGTGGGGGAGAGGTGTTTTTTTTGGGGGGGGGGGTAGCAATGACTGGGAGTCAGAGAGGGAGAGAGATTTTATGTCTCGGGGGCTGGGGGGGGGGGTCACGGAGACCTGATATGTAGCAACTTTGTGATTCAAAAAATGTACAGTTAATAATTCAATAAAGCTTTTTAAGAAAAACTAAACGCACACGTTTCCACGCGGTGGTTTGGAGACTTGTTATTATAATAATAATTTAATATTTCATACAACGCCTTATCGCGGCGTCTGGATATCTGGATGTGTGGAGTCAGTCCCGTAACGTAGTGGTTAGTGAGCTCGCCTCACAAGCCTGAGGACCCAGGCTCGATCCCCGGGCAGGGCAAAACCTCAGGCAAGTTTCGTTACTCCACACGTCTCTGTTTATCTCGCAGTAAGTAGGAACCCGGTTGTTAGTTGATTGGCAGATTGCTTTTTGGGGGTAATAATCCCCACAAAAAAAATCGTTTAATCCATAACCGTTTGTGGGACACTGCTGTGCGCAATTGGCTGCCACGTTTCGCCCACAAAGTAGAGTCACTCCACTTTACAATACATCCTGTGAAGCACTTTGAGACATCTCGACGACATGATATCAAATACAAGGTTTATTGTTTTAATTAATCCTTGCATTTGATATAGCGCTTTTCACGTCGGGAGGACGTCCCAAAGCGCTTCACAGAACACTGTAAAGTGAATTGACTGTATATTTGTGGGCGAACGCGGCAGCCAATTGCGCACAGCAATGTCCCACAAACAGTTATAGATTGAAAATGACCAATTTATTATTGTTTTTGGTTTTGGAGGGATTATTATTAGGCTCTGTGTGGAGTAAGGAAACTTGCCCAAGGTTTCACCCTCTGCCTGGAATTGAACTCAGATCTCTCACTTGCAAAGCGAGTGCTCTAACCACTGAGCTACAGGACTCCCTCCATAATAATTGTTATTATCTGAAAGCGCTTCCCAGATTTACCGTGTGGCGGAGTGATTCGAGCGGTTTGGGGGTGTTGGTGTTGGTGGTGGGGGAGAAAGGAGGGGAGGCAAGGCTATAAATAATGTTATATTAAATGTTCCCAGCTCATGCTGGCGTTGTGAAAGATGGGATTTGTGAGCGTGAGATTGTCAGTGCTGTTTATCTGCTGTCAAATCTGTTTGAACGTGTTTACTCAGAGAGAACACAAGCTTGACACCCTGCCGCTAATGCAACTAATTCTGTTTAATTAGCTGTCTCGCACAGTAATTACCAGCTACACAGATAAACGTTGTCTCAACCAATCACCCTCTTACACACCAAATCCATTGACATCCGTCTCTCCTTCACCAGCCAGAGTTCTTCCCCAATTTAAGGTGTCCTCAAAATACATTTACCTGAATTAATTTGGGGGAAATTCTCCCACTCAGCTCCTGTTATCCCTGCAAGCCAAAGCCCGAACAAGTAGGGTGGTCCTGGCCGGATAAGCAATGGGAAAGCTTGCCAGACAGTGCTCACAATGGCAGGCTATGTGGGTTTAGCTGGTTAGACTCCAGCAGTTGTCTCAACTCCCCCGCACCTGGGTTGTTAAGGATTTATAAGTTGTTAAGGATTTATAACTAGAAACTCACTGGCCTGTCCCAGGGCCTAATATAAAGCACTTCCAGGTCAAGTCAAAGAGACTCCAGGGTGTTGCTGTGGATGGAAGCTTTATCCTACACAATGGGGCTCCTTGACAGGTGAGCTGACATTTTCTCTCTCGAGTATTTGTTTGGTTTAGTTATTTCCCTCTGTTTTCATCCTCGCCTGAGGAAGGGATGGTGCCATTGGCACTGCAACAGGTCACTTTGCTGGGAAACCTCGTTAACAACCTGACCCTCCCTCAAACTCCTGACCTGAAAGATTCTGTCAACCTAATTGTGTTGGTTACAAGGTAGATGAAGAGAAGGGAGCGGTGGTGAGGTGGACGGATTTTTTTGGTCAGCCGGGTATCTGACATTTGGGACGTCCTCCTGACGTGAAAGGCGCTTTATAAATGGAATCTTGTTGTTGTTGTTGTATTTGTGGAAACCCATCACCGTTGCTTAAGATGATCCAAATCAGCTGAGAATTCCATGTCTTCCCCTCTACATGTGGAAATCCCAGAAACAGATTGTTAGGATGGAATGTGCTCTTTCTCTCTCCCTGGAGGGACATATGCTACTTGCCTAATTCCAGAGAATATTAGGCATAGGTTGGCAAGAGCCAAGGCTTGGGGACCCCAGAATGTGCGTTGGGGGTAACTGCTGGAGTCTAAACAGCTGAAAAATGCATAACTTGAGAGCACTGTCTGGCAAGTTTTCCCACTGCTTACCCAGCTCGGATCACCCTACCCGATAGGACTTTGGTTTGCAGGGTTAACGGGAGCTGAGTGGGAGGATTCTCTGTCAGGGATTGAGGCCGGGAGCTCCAGATGTTAGCAAGCACACTAAATGTGAAATGAGGGAATAATCATTGACTGGGCTTCTTCCCCCCCCCCCCAAAGAAACATGAGTGAACGAGAATCAGCCTCTGACATTCCTCTCTGAAAGACGAGGCACTGTTATAACAATGAGTTGTTAATTGTCTTTAATTAAGCTTAGCCGATTTGAAGTGGTGCTCAGTGAAATAAACAGAAGGAGCTGTTACTGGGCATATTTACACAGATCATTAAAGCTTCTCTTTAACTTCCAGTCACTGACCCACTGGAGAGACGACAACTGGGAGGATATGATGACGGCAGCTACTGTCATCTCCTTCACATGATAGTCCGTGCTGTTGGTACCGCGCTCTCGTCGCGAACTCCGATTACACTGTAAAGTGTAGTGACTGGGCATTTTGCAGTTGAACACGGCAGCCAATTTGCGCACAGTGACGGCCCACCATGGGAGCTTCAGTGTCCGGGTAAACGGGGCATAGACACCTAATTCAAAGGACGGCACCTCCGACATTGCAATGCTTCCCTCACAGCCCGGTCGGTACTGTACTGCAGTCAGCCTGGACTGTGAGCTCAAAGACTCCAATGGTGGGGCTCGAACCCACAATCTTGAGACCCAGAGGCGAGAGCGTGAGTGGCTGAGTGTCTCAATATCCTGTTAATGGGGAACATGTCAGTCAGTGTTGACTACACAGTCTAATCGAGGGATTTCTGTCGGTTTATACAGTGTATTTATAGGACAATGGAAACCGAGCAGGTGATATAGGGACTAATATAATTGTGAGGTTGAACGGTTTATATGTAGATCAACTGATCAGCCTGGGTAAATACAGGCAGTAATCTAATCACCAGGTATATAAATAGCAGCATAGATACCTGAGAGCGATTACTGCTTGAAAATTTAATTGAGAGTTTCCAAAGATTAAATGAGTTTAACCGTCCGATGTTTTGGTATCATTTTCCCTCCGTGATTTGTCAGTTTTTCCCGCCTTCTCGATTTCTCTCCTCCCTGGAGGCCCACAGTCTAAGGCGGACTCTGTCGGAGGTGCCATTCTTACGACGGGACGTCAAACCAAACTCCCGTTTAAATGGACGAACGTTAAAGATCCCGCGACGGTACTCAAAAAGAGATGAGTCTCTCTCCTGGGCTGACAATCTCCCCCCC